AAGTTTTAGCTAATAGTTTATGTGTGTAGTTATTAGTATTATTTGTTATAAATATGTATGATGTTTAATAATAATATTAATATTATTATTATTATTATATTCCTTGTTGAAGAAAGAAATCAAAACGAATAAATAATGATCAAACAATGAGCAAATAAATAATTAAAAAATACAGATTTTAAAGTTTTATTATAAGAAATATTTACAAATAAATTATCCAAATTTCACCGAAATGAAGATCTAAAGTAATTACAGATCAGATCAGGATCTACAGCCGATTTCAGAATTCAAGTAAAAATTTATATTTTTATAAACAATACAAGTGATTACAGATTTTCACTAATTTTTCAATTGGAGCGTTATTTAAGGATCTACGGCCGATTTAAGAATTGTCAAGTAAAAATTGATTTTTTATAAAAAATACGAGTGATCACAGATTTTCACTATTTCTCAATTAAAGCGTTATTTAAGGATTTAAGAATTCTTAAGTAAAAATAGATTTTTTATGAAAAATACAAGTGATCATAGATTTTCAATATTTTCTCAATTAGAGCGTTATTTAAGGATCTACAGCCGATTTAAAAATTCTCCAGTAAAAATAGATTTTTTATGAAAAATACAAGTGATCACAGATTTTCAATATTTTCTCAATTGGAGCGTTATTTAATTATCTACAGCCGATTTTAGAATTTTTTTAGTTTTTCTAATAAAAATTTATTTATTTTTTTTTTTTTGAAAAATACGAGTGATCGCAGATTTTCATTATTTTCTCAATTGGAGCGTTATTTAAGGATCTGCAGCCGATTTAAGAATTATTTTACATTTTCTAATAAAAATAGATTTTTAACAAAAAATGCGGGTGATCACAGATTTTCACTATTTTTTCAATTGGAGCGTTATTTAATGATCTACAACCGATTTAAGAATTCTCAAGTAAAAGTAAATTTTTTATGAAAAATACTATTGATCACAGATTTTCACTATTGATCACAGATTTTCACTATTTTCTCAATTGGATCGTTATTTAAGGATCTACAGCCGATTTAAGAATTCTCAAGTAGAAAAAGATTTTTAATGAAAAATACGAGTGATCGCAGATTTTCAATATTTTCTCAATTGGAGCGTTATTTAAGGATCTCAAGTAAAAACAGATTTTTTGTGAAAAATATGAGTGATCACAGATTTTCACTATTTTCTCAATTGGATCGTTATTTAAGGATCTACAGCCGATTTAAGAATTCTCAAGTAAAAACAGATTTTTAATGAAAAATACGAGTGATCACATATTTTCAACATTTTCTCAATTGGAGCGTTATTTAAGGATCTACAGCCGATTTAAGAATTCTCAAGTAAAAACAGATTTTTAATGAAAAATACGAGTGATCACAGATTTTCACTATTTTATCAATTAGAACGTTATTTAAGGATTTACAGCCGATTTAAGAATTCACAAGTAAAAGTAGATTTTTTATGAAAAACACTAGTGATCGCAGATTTTCAATATTTTCTCAATTGGAGAGTTATTTGAGGATCTACAACCGATTTTAGAAATCTCAAGTAAAATAGATTTTTAACGAAAAATACGAGTGCTCCAGATTTTCAATATTTTCTCAATTGGAGCGTTATTTAAGGATCTACAGCCGATTTAAGAATTCTCAAGTAAAAGTAGATTTCTTATGAAAAATTACGAGTGATCACAAATTTTCACTATTTTCTCAATTGGAGCGTTATTTGAAGATCTACAGCCGATTTAAAATTCTCAAATAAAAATAATTTTTTAATAAACAATACGAGTGAACACAGATTTTCACTTTTTTCTCAATTGGAGCGTTATTTAATGATCTACAGCCGATTTTAGAATTCTCAAGTAAAAATTGATTTTTAACGAAAAATACGAGTGATCACAGATTTTCACTATTTTCTTAATTGGAGCGTTATTTAAGGATCTACAGCCGATTTAAGAATTCTCAAGTAAAAATTGATTTTTTATGAAAAATACGAGTGATCACAGATTTTCACTTTTTTCTCAATTGGAGTGTTATTTAAGGATCTACAGCAGATTTAATAATTCTCAAGTAAAAATTGATTTTTTATGAAAAATACGAGTGATCACAGATTTTCACTATTTTCTCAATTGTAGCATTATTTAAGGACCTACTGCCGATTTAAGTTTTTTCATGTAGAAATTTATTTTTTTATTGAAATTAAGTAGTTAATAATTATTTTTTTAATGTGTATAATTTTTAAATAAATTTTGTAAAATAACGTACCTGTTATGACTTGTAGATGGCTGTAGCTGTTTGTTGAAGAACGATGTGGCATCATTGTACATTTGCCCAACTAATAGCAAACTGACACTTTCACAATTTTTTCACTTCATTTGTAATCACTTTATATTTGTAATTAAATACTTTTTATGATTAATATTAAGACCCTTTTCCCACACTATTTAAAAGGCTTTCATTTGGGAATTTACATCTTCGCTTATCTTATTTGCATTTATTTTTTCATTCTTATTTTTATTAAAAATTTGTATTTTATATATTTCGCACAACACTAAAACAATACATTAAGCTTTTTAAACACAATTTATTTTTTAACTTTGCACAAATTATTTCATTATTTATTTCAATTTTCCCTTCTTTATTTTATATACTGCGGATAATACTATATTTATTTTAAAATTTTAACAACACCTTTTACTTATTTACCGTGAATTTTTTCGATTTTCATTAAAATAAACGAATTTCTACTTTAGCACACAAAACCGACCGCCATATTAAGAAAACAAAAAATAAAAAAAATGACATTGGCTGCAATGATGCCAGATTTGATAAAAACTAAAAAGAAAAGAAATTCAAAAATTTGAAAAAACCAGTGAAATAAAACATAAATTTAAAATTTTTAGTATAAAAATATAATTTAAACAACACAAAATTTTAAAAAAAGAACGTTTTATTATTTAAAATTTGAATTTGATTTTAGAAATTCTCACACTAGAGGGCCTTATAACACAGGGTTACTCTATTGATGTTTATATTTATACAGTACTTCTGCCCGCACGTGGTGTCAAAATATAAAAACAATTGAGTTTGACAGTTCAATTTATATATTTTGTTAGCATAAAATAGAAACGTGTTGAATTTTCGGGATTTTCTTTTAATTTATCAATAAATTTATTATACTTTAAGTAAATTAATCAACAAAAATAAAATATGAAACGTTTAAGTGAGGAAAGAGCTAAAATTTTGTTTGAAAAGTTGTCCAAATAGTAAGTATTTCACTAGTTTTGAAGAGTGAACCATTTAATAAAAAATTTCTTTCCCTTTTCCAGCATTGGCACTAATGTCAAACAATTGATTGATCGTCCCGATGGTACCTATTGTTTCCGTGAACATTTGGATCGTGTTTATTATGTTTCCGAACGTATACTCAAGTTATCCGAGTGTTTTGGTCACAAAAAACTTATCTGTGTTGGTACATGTTTTGGCAAATTTTCCAAGACGAACAAATTGAAATTCCACATTACCGCTTTATACTATTTGGCTCCCTATGCTCAATATAAGGTGTGGGTAAAACAATCTTTCGAACAACAGTATCTATATGGCAATCATATACCTAAATCGGGCTTGGGACGTATTACCGAAAATGCTGGCCAATATCAAGGAGTTATTGTTTACAACATGAACGATTTGCCTTTAGGTTTTGGTGTTTTGGCTAGATCTACTACGGAATGTAAAGCGGCTGATCCTTTGACTACAGTGTGTTTCCACCAGTCGGATATTGGTGAATATATCAGATCGGAAGATACATTGTTTTAGAAGAAACTTTTTCCTAATTGCTAGTTTTATAGTTTTTAAAGTAAACAACAACAAATACTAAAGTAAGTTTAAATGTTTTTTTAAATACAAATTATAATGAAAAAGATAATCGAAAGTGGAAATTGTTTTTATTTAAAGTGGAATGAGATAAACGTTTATTGAAACGTCTACGCTGATTTCTTCTTTTTCTGTTAATCTCTTAATATTATAATTTGGAATTCAAGTCATTAAGACACGTTAAGAAATGAAAATGCTGATTAGTTGTACAAAATCGAGGGCATTGTAGGTTATACATCTTAAATTTTCCGCTGTTTCAAAACAAACTTAAAGTTCTCGCACTCATGGGTCACTTGGAAAGTGTTTCCTATAGGACATATTGGAAAGATAATCATCATTAGAACAATAAGAAACTATTTTTTTACAAAGAAATCCAATACCTAATCTAGAACATGTAACAGTTTTTAACTGAAATCTATGAATCCAGTTGAATATATTGTTTTAGAAGTCGGGTTGAAAAAATCGTTAAAATTATTAATGGGACTTGCGGGTATAGATTGTTACATTAGTAATACATGGTATGGTAATACATCTGAAATTGTACTATTTTAAAGTTATGGTCTTGAGGCAGATCTTCCAAATGGGAACAGCTGTAATGTGTAAGGAAACTCATGTACACTCTCATAAATAGTTCTTCTTCCTAGACTAAAAATCGATATGTTAAGAAGAGGACACAGGCCAAAAAATCCGGAGACCAAAGTATACTTTTCATAAGGATTGAACAGTGCTGAATTCGAATCTTGCCCTATCCATCGCGTCAGCTTTCCAAGATATCGTGTCATACAGTTTGAAAATTACGTCTTTTACCCTGTTTGAAGAGTTACAACACTGCGAAACACCTTTTTTGTAAGGTCATCTGAAAATCCTGTCGACCTTAAAATAAAGATATAAGCTCAGTAATATATTTTTCCTTTTTCGACATATCTTAGCTTAAAGCTTGGAAAGCTTTTAAAAAGTTTCGACTTTTAAAATTTTGGCCAATTAAATACCGTTAAAAACTGTTTTAAATTAACTCCCCTTTTTTACAGCCGCTACAACAACAACTCCCCTTTTTACAACCATTCCACAAAAAATACAACACTGCACTAAAAAACATCTGTGCAATTAATTTTGACAACTTGTTGTAAAACAAGAAGAAGCATTTTCTCTCTTCGTTGTTGTTTGTTGTATATTTTTTAAGTTGATTTTTTGCAAAAATACAGAAAACAATTTATTAACTATTAAATTAAGCTGAAAAATATTAATTTAAATTAGTTAATTAAGTTCCAGAAAAGACAAGTAGCTATGGAGCTACAATTAAACAAGGTTGTAAATTGGTGTTTAATCATTTACATTTTGTTGCAAACAAAGACAATTGAAGGTGGGTGTAATAATTGTTTTTCCCAATTTTGCAAAAATGCAAAAAAATAGAAAGTAAAACATAATCAAATTTTAATAACAAGAAAAACAACAACAACTATTAATAATAATTAAAAACATTACACACAAAAGTCCTTCAGAAAATCCTTTTAACTTATGCATACAATGTGTTTAGGTTTATGAATGCTTCTCAAGACCATGACTCATGTTCGGGCTTAAGATTTGTAGTTTTTGTTTACATACATATTTTTAATCGTTAACATTTAACTTTTTATAGTATCCTGCAAACGTTTACATGAGAAAATCTATGAATCCTTTTTTGGCGGCACCTGTTTTCGACGTTTAAATGGCACCCACCAAACAGGCTGTTCTTGTAAGTGAAACTTAAACACCAGGTCTTTTTCTATAAATTAATAAACTTTTTATTACAATTTCTTTTCTAGCCGCTGAATCCGGCTCTGTGGGAGCTTTACATTATGTTTACGACAACAAACAATTAGAGTTTCTATTAAATTCCCCACCGGCACCACCTTATGCCGCCATCCTAGGTTCCGATTACTTCAATCGTGAGAATATGATGCGCCTAAAGCATGAGGGGGGTCGTAATATTTCCGCCGTTCTAGTGTTAAACATGTTCGATAACTTTACCAGTGATGGTGTGGGTTTTTCTCATGAACTAAAGTGTCCTAATCAATATAGTGGCATTTTGTTGCCCAATTCCCAAGAAACTGCCACTTGTTCTGCACAAAGAGCCGAAGATTCTTGGAATCCTTGGGGTTCTGGTTTGCTACATGAGGATTTTCCATTTCCTATTATCATTATACCCAATAATGATACAGTGGTCAAGTTAATCGAATGTTTTACCAAATTCAATAGTTTCGATTATGAAACACAACATTTACGTAGTCTATGTGCTGTAGAAATAAAAAGTTTTATGAGTGCCGCTGTTAGTACTGAGGTATGTTGGCGTCGTACTAATTTTATTAATAATTTGGCACAGACACGTTACTGTGATCCCTTGGAGGGTAAAAATATCTACGCTACTTTATTTCCGCGTCCAATTGTCAGCGAAAATGAGGTGAGCAATGTTAATACAAAGGAGAAATTTATATTGGTTACAACGCGTATGGATACGACGGGAATGTTTGAAGGTGTTTATGGTAAGTGGATTTACATTTTTATAATGAATAATTTTTGGTTTTTTAAGAACCTGGATAAATTTTTAGTTTGTTATGTGTAGTTTCCAGATAACGTGCGAGTACTTTGAGTAAAAATTTTACTTGTATTTTTTTTTGTTACCATAAAAATTTTTACTCAAAGTTCTTGCACGTTATCTGCAAACAGGCCCTTTATTCATTAGTTTAACAAACGGAATTTAACTCAAATTTAAATTTAATATAAAAAATATATAAAAATAGGTAATAAAAAGTTATTAATATCGACTATTAAATAAAAATTTATTAAATAGTTAAACAGTTTTCTTTGAAACAGTGGACCTCCGAGCAGAGCAATTGCTCTTTATTACGAATTTCGTTCTATCGCACTTTTTCGAAGGAATTGTTATTATATTTGTGTATGAATGAAGTTCTGATGAAATTTTTTACATAGTTGTTGCAATAATATATTAATATTAATAGCACAGGCCGACAAAATTTGAAAAAAGTCGATACCTGAGACCAAGTTAAACTTTGTTTACTTAAAAATAAAAAGTGAAAAATTATTTTTAGTAAAAAGACTATTTTAAGTAAAACTTTTTGTTGAAATATACTTTTTTCAATACAAAAGTAGCGAAAATAGAAATATTATATTCTAGGGAAAGAATATATATATATTAAGGTGTAACTCCACTTGGAGACCATTTAGGTTCATTGTGAACAAACAAGAAAAACTGTTTTAGATCAAGAAATCATTGCGACAGAAGATCAGAATCTTTACTGTATTCTCTATCCGAAAGAACTTTTAATTCCCCTGAAAAAATATGACAAATTGCGTGGATTACTTCCAGAAATATTTCCAATTACGTCGCAAAATCTATTTCCTAGTCATTTTTGTCTGAGACCCTGTAATCTAGTACAATGACAATATATGTCCTCGTAAAGCATGTAGTAGTTTGGTATAGAAATATCCATTTGCTAAGTCCTAACAGAAACCATAGACTACACTTATCCAGTTCAATAAGTATCCTGGTTGCCGTTGCCTCAAGTCTTGTCCAAAAGACCTTTGATACTTTACAATCCATATTATGATTTCATTAATGGTTAGTGATTCGATTCGATTCTGGCAAGTTACCGCCTTGGATCGAACTTCCCTATTCATTGCAATGTAATGGTTTCCAAAACAGAGTTATTGTAAAAAGTCTCATAATATCGCTCAGAGTATTTCTACACTCTACGACTAGACACGTACATATCAGCCCTGACTACATATCGAGATGAATTGTCACTACAGATCTTAGATCTATTTCGATCTTGTGCAGTCTACATTCGTCAGGGAGTCTATAAACCGGCACCATTATCCACCTTGGATCTGTACATACTGCACATCCCTCAAACAGACCTTTTCAAAAGGTAAGTTAACAAATTTTCTGTATTCTTTAATTATTCTTTTAATTAAATGAAGGAAATTTTTTAATAGAGTAAATTAAACAACTATTAATTGGTTTATCTTGTTCAACATTTTGTAAAGGCTCCTATTTTTATAGAATTTGGAAGCACGTGATAATCGTTCTTACAAAGAATTAACTTAAGGAATGTCTTTTTCTTGTTTGTATTACAACAATGTGAGAATTGAAACATTTGTTTCTTAAAACCTTAAAAACACTTGTGCATCAGAACATATCTGCTCATGAACATCCCCACCTTAGATAAAAAATATCTCATTAAAATTTACCTGTTATTTCGCAACCCCTTTTAAACAAACAACAAATGTACCTGTACACATACATATGAATATTTAGCATAAGGTGTCTTTTTCCGGAAATAACAATAGTTTTGAAAAAGTTTTAATGCCCCATACCCATTAGCAATACCAACCATTCATTCATCCATGCCTACAGACAATTTTCTTATAGACATAAAAAAGAAAAGGTGAAAATTTATTTATTTCCAAACAACCAACCACCAACCAATAAACAACAATACAAAATTGTTAAAAATCGCCAACTGCAACACGCAATATTCAAAGGATAATCAAATGAAATGATAAATGAACTAAACAAAAATATAATATACCTACAAAATAAACAACTGTTTGGTGAAAAACTCAACGAATAAAAAAGAAACATAAATAAACACAAAATTATATTTTTTTGAATAATAAAATAATAAAAAAAAGAAAATAGAAACTCATACTAGAACAACACGCACACTTTTACCCAAACCCTTACAGGTGAACTAAACATACACCTACTTGCTTGCTTCCTTGCCTTTCTTAATGTAGTTGTGACACATACACACACATGTTCCCTGTTTGAACCATGTTTAGTGTAATTATTGCTGTTTCATTTTGAAAATTAGACAAGTGCATTTTGATCGTCAACGTTTAAATAAAACGTCGTTCGGTTAGACGAAATGTGAAGTCAACGAAGCGTAATAAACAACCACCGAAATTAGGAGTATGTGTATTATTTTATAGGCAATTGTTATTTGTAATAAGCCAATTGTTGTTGTTTTTGTTATTGCTATTGTTGTTGGTTACCTAGCCAACGCCAGGAACAAAACAGTGAAAATTCTATACTATAGTCAGCATTTGGAAAAATCCTTAAAATTATTTGTAAACGAACGTTATAACACGTAAGAATAACGTCACTTTTTTCCTAAAACGAACCTAAAAACAGTAGAATCGAAGATACACTTTAGTGCTCCATAGTTTAAGAGGATAGTTATAGGAAGAGGACTCCAATATGACCACCAGATTGGCAGCGCCTAGAAATTTTGTTTTAACATCGACAGCGGCAGCCGGAATAATAAATTCTCCTACTTTGAGTGTTGTGTCCCCAGAAACGGATACTATAACAACCGAGTCAACGGTTTTGCCATGTGTCGTCAATACTACAACCGATTCAGCGGCAATCGTGGTAACTAGGGACCCCTCGTCTTCTTGTCAGAACGCACAACAAGAAGTGTATCAGTACATTACTGCCGAATCTTTGCAAGATGTTATGACAACGCACAAAGTATTCGCCAGCATTGAGCAGGATTATCATCATCATCAACAGCAACAACAGCAATATACTGGTGGTCATTTGCACCAAGATACGTCTCATCAACAGCAAATACAGCAGCAGCACCAGCAACAACAGGAGCAGGAAGAATTAGCTGTAATAAATGTGGTAGTTCCCATGGATAATAATGATACTTCCAGTAATGAAGCCCAAGCCACCATGGATACTTTGGCTGGCATTAAGGAAGGTGTAGTCGATTTGGTACATCATGCTGAACAGGAGGAAGGTTGTCCACAATATATTACTGTTACTGTGTCCACGCAAGATGCCGGACAAAATTATCAGGTGCAATATGTAGATGCTGAGGAATTATACCAGGCTACTAATGGCACCCAAACTCAAATCACTTATCCTTTCTGTCCCATTCAAGAATATCAAACAAATCAATCAACATTTTACACCACCTCCACAGGGAACTTTAGTAACAATGGCTCACAAATAACCGGGAATAATACAGACAATGCCACTACTTTATTGCCATATTTGGTGCCTGTGGAAGAAGGCATGTTAATTAATACTTCCTCTGAGGATTTGCAAAGTTCTCCGCAAACGCCCAATTCCTCTACTCACAACATGGGTGGAACACAATGTATGAATTCGGCCAATGAACATGAAATGGATGATAATTCTATGGAAACAGATGTAAATCATATGGGTGGTACGAGTAAAATTGCCTCAGCCACTATTAAATGGTTGTCACAAAACTACGAGACCGCAGAGGGAGTAAGTCTGCCAAGATCTACGCTCTACAACCATTATATACAACACTGTAATGAATCCAAAATAGAGCCAGTGAATGCTGCTAGTTTTGGCAAATTAATAAGATCTGTGTTTGCGGGTTTGCGCACCCGTCGCTTGGGTACTCGTGGTAATTCCAAATATCATTATTACGGCATACGTATTAAACCGGATTCTATGCTAAAACATCAGCAAAGTCAAGAAGAAATCTCCACTTCACCCTCTAAAACAACTTCCTCCCAGCAAGCTCCAAATTCGATTAAGCAAAACACCAACAACAATAACCAAGCATCCACATCCAGCTGTACTTCTAGTCACAAACCTACTAATGGCAACAAATCATTGAAAAAACTAATTTTCAAACCGGAATCTTATGCTGCCTGTGCTCAATATTTAGGTGATGGTACTGGTGCTTTACCCTCATTCCCTTTGCTAGAACTGGATCACACTTGTCCAGCGGAAATAAGTTCACAGGATTTAGAACTATTTCGTCTGAAATATCAAGAGCATTGTGAAAAGTTTTTGGATGCCATTGTCAATTTGGAATTTAATACCATAGAATATTTGTGGCGCGAATTTTGGTCCACCGATCATCATGATTCTCTGCATAATTTAACGCGTCCCAAATTGCAATTACTTTGTCTTTCGTCACCGGTGCAGAAGCTTGTACGCAATATTGATTATCAATTCTTTCAAAATATGGTCGATGTTCTAATGCCTGATGTCTTGAGATCCACACCCAATGCCCTAACACAAGCCATTAGAAGTTTGGCAAAAAATATGGAAGCCTGGATATGCGAATCCATGTTGGGTATACCCGATCAAATGGTGCAAATAAAAACTACCACTGTTTCGGCATTCTGTCAAACTCTTAAACGTTATACCTCGCTCAATCATTTGGCACAGGCTGCTAGAGCTGTACTCCATAATAGTAATCAAATTACTCAAATGTTAACTGATTTGAATCGTGTGGATTTTCAAAATGTACAAGAACAAGCCGCCTGGGTGTGTCAGTGTGATCCGTCTATGGTTCAAAGAGTGAAGAATGATTTTAAGGCTACCCTACAGCAACAAAGTTCGTTGGAGCAGTGGGCCTCTTGGCTGCAATTGGTGGTGGATTCTGCTCTCCAGGAATATCGTGGTAAACCTTCTTACCCTAAGGCAGCACGACAGTTTCTCTTAAAGTGGAGTTTTTACAGTTCTCTAGTTATAAGAGATTTAACTTTAAGATCTGCACCTAGTTTTGGTAGTTTTCATTTAATACGTTTACTCTACGATGAATACATGTTCTATGTGGTGGAAAATAAAATAGCCGAAGCACAAGAAAAGACCGCTATAGCGGTTATATGTGATCGTTTACAAAAAGATGATGTTAATTTTGAATTGGACTATCAATTGGAATTAATAGCGGCCGACGTAACAAATTCAGAGCCTCCCGTAAAACGCATGAAACAAGAGTAAATTTTAAATTAAGAAAACAAGAAAAAACGAAGCAATATAAAAGCAATTTTTAATTAAAATTATGTTTAAATTATAAATTGCTTACGGTATTACTCTTATATTAAGTATTTTATCATTCAAATATTATATTAACTTGGTGGCCTTGTGTGCAATATAAAGTGCCTTCAATATCTTAATGCTCAAACATGATTTATATAAATATATTTTATCTTATTTATCTAATGGCTCAATTTACATATACATATGTATTACGAAACTTGATCTAGTCCCCCTCAATATTTTATAAGTATTTAACTTTAAATTGTGCAAAATAATATTATATTATTCAAATAAATAAGTTTAAAATTAAAATAATTATGAATTTTTTAATTGAATGAATAAATTGAAAACTAAAAGAAAAAAAATAACTACTGAATGCTATTAATACCTTAAAAAAACACTTTCTCCCTAAATTCGGTTAAGCTACACTCCATTAACAACAACCAGGCATAAACATCTAATAGTTGCTCTAATTCACACCCTTACAAAGATGGCAACAACTGCATCAATTACACTTGCCCGACGGAAATAAATTAAATTATTTCGTTTGAGATATTAAGCGCATTTTGGAATGTTATTAGATTTCATAATGCCAGAGAGCGATGTCAAATTTGTTTTCGTTTTCCTCCATATAATGCATAGGATTGATTGACTTGTGTGAACATTATCTATTTCCTCCAGATTGCAGTGACAGAAATTTTCCGACTGTTTTTTTAAATTGTAGTTTGCCTATGTTTTATCAAAAACTAAAGAGTCGAAGACGTTTGACGATCCAATTTCTTTTAGTAGTTGCATTTTTCTATATGTTCTTTATTCGCTAAACATCTTTTGTGATAGAGAAACAGAAGAGAATTATTCCGAATAAGATAGTTCCATTTTAAAATTGTTCGGTATAGCAAACGTAACTACATACGAGTAAAGTCGGTATAGCATACGAGTAAATTCTGTATAGCTGAGTTGACAATCCTTGGTCATTGTTCGTTGAATACCCAGTCGTTCCTGTGCGAGGAACAAGCCTGATGTCAATAGCCGAGTTGGGTAAGGCAGCTGAAACAAGAGAAAAGTGCAAACCAGGGTGAATCACACAACGGTCAATCTCCCTCCTGTCACCCATTACTTAGGCACCAAACCTCTCGAAATTACAACAACACCTATATCCAGCAGATCATTAACATGGATTTTGTCTAAAGCATAAGACAACAATAGCTTTAACCGCCATCACCACACAAGTTTGCCACGGTCTTAATCAAGCCCTACCATGTCAACGTACGATCGTTGTGGCACTCGTTCCATCAAAAACTTTCGATATGGTTAATCACGTCATTCTCTACAGAGATATTTTTACATCAGATCTCTGCAACAACAATAAGATATGGCTAGTGAATTACATGTGTGGACAACAGTCATTCGAGGAGTTTAGGAACCAGAGATCAAAGTCTCATAGAATTAAATAGGGAGTTCCCCAAGATGGAGTCCTTTCGCCGATCCTGTTTAATTTATATATGTCTAAACACCCCGGACGGCGTCCAATATCAAAACTTCCGACGGTACATTACCACAAAATACTTGGTGTCACATTCGATATCCTTCTTATGTCCTCCGCTCACACCACTGCAATATGCAACTAAATGCGAAGTACTCAAGGTACTCAAGTCTCTAGCCGGCAGCACTTGAAGAATGATAAAGAAACTTTGTTAACTACCTAACAAACGGTTGTCTGGTCAGTGGTAAACTACGCAGCGCCAGTGTGGACTCCGAAAATTAGCGTCGCCCTTTGAACAGTAACAGGCTTTTGGTTATGGAACATAACACCATGCTATCAAAGCAGTTCCTAACGGGATATCAACGGAGGGGCCACCCGAACCACCATCTAACCGAGTGTATGGTAGTCTATTGACTGGCCGATGGACACATCTATGAACATGTCTACTGACTAGTCTATGGAATAGTCTGTTGACTAATCTATGGACTAGTCTGTTGACAAGTCTATGGCCTAGTCTGTTGACAAGTCTGTGGACTAAGCTATTGACTAGTCTATTAGCTAGTTTGTGGACTATTGAGAAATCTATGAACTAGCCTATATACTATTTTATTGACTGATTTTGACAAGTTTATTGACTTGTCTATTGATTAGACTATTGACTAGTCTATTAATTACTCCATTGAATTGTCTGTGGACTATTATGCTGACTAGTCTATTGATAAGTATATGGACCGGACTATTAACTAGTCTATTGACGAATCTGTGAACTAGTCTATTGACTCATCTATGGATTTGGATATTGAATAGTCTCTGTACTAGTCTATTGACAATACTATGATGAGCATATTTGGGAAAATATTGTGCACATTCTGAATTGGTTTTCTGTATAATATAAAAATTATGATTTAAACTTAAAATTTTCTTTACAGGTGTTGGTGCCAAGGACTCTTTAACCGGTTACACCATACTTGTTAGCGTGGCCCATACGCTATCGCGTCTTCTAACAGATAAATCACTACTAAAAGATAGCAATCTCAATATACTCTTTGTCATCTTTAATGGGGAATCCTACGATTACATTGGCTCTCAAAGATTTGTATACGATTTGGAGAATAAAGATTTTCCCAAGGCCACCACCTATACCACACCCATTACTTTTGATAATATAGAATTTGTTTTGGATTTAGGAACATTCGATGAAATGTCAAGCATTAAATTACACACTATAAGTGAATTTCCTTATGCCAAAATGATACTACGCAAATTACAGCACTATGCCACCACACCGAAATATGATTTCAATATAAATTTCGAAAATTCTATAGGCTATCAAATGCCACCTACATCGGCTCAATCATTTTTGAGAAAAAATCTTTCCTTTCCGGCAGCCATCTTAAATGCACCACCCACTAATCGTTTCTATCATTCGGTCTATGATGATGGTGTAAATTTGAAATATAATTACACGAATACTTCACTGGATTATACGCAATTAATGGGTAGAGAAGATGCTTTAAAATATTTCAAAACCGATGATATACAAATGAAAATACGTAATGTATCGGCAATTATAGCCATGGCCTTGTATGAAACTTTGACGGGGAAAGAGTATGTAGACGATAAATTTCCCAGTCCAGTATTGATTGATGAAATACTTTATTGTTTTGTTAAATCACAAAATTGTCCATTATTTTTTGCGGCCTCTAAGCCGAATAGTTTTAAAAAGTTGCCTTTAATAGCACCAAATCGGTAAGTATATAAATATTAACTGATGTTTATGAGAAATTTAAAACTTGTCTTGATATAATGTGTTTTTTTTTAAATATTTCTAGTTACATTAGTGTCAATCGTGATAGTCAGGAAGCCACTATTTGGACTTATCGCATAATGGGCTATTTATTGTCACAAAAACTTCCTAATGTAGCCAAAGAAAATTGCACCTATTTACCCAGATACTGGTTTGCTGGCTTTAATAAACTGGGAGAATGTGGTATAACCACACAAAATTATTCTTTAGCTTTAAGTCCAGCATTTATAATAGAAGGTAATGGACAAAATGAACATTTGCCTAAACATTTTATATTTTAAAAACTTTTTAATTTTTTTATATATTTTTTTTTTAGATTACAATTGGACTTCGGGTGAATACTCCACCTGGTCCGAATCCACTTGGAGTTCTTTAAGTTCTCGTTTATTTTTACGTCCTTCACGTATTCATGAAATTGTAACATTAACCATTGGTTTTGTGGTGTTAATCTTTTCGTTTTGTTTGGTTTATATTATAAGTACAAGATCAGAAGTTCTATTCGAAGATCCTGGACCGAATGCTAGTACTGATGCGTAAGATTTATATGAATTATATTTTTATGATTTTTATCTTTACTAATATTTATTTTTTTAGAATATTTGGTTTGGAAACTTAATTTATTTTGTTTAAAAATTAAAAGATTTAAAAAAAGTTTTATATTTTTGCAAATACCTTTTGAATTGAAACTTTAAAGGGAATTGAAGACTCAAGCAATGATTTAGGAAGCTTGATTCTTTAAAGCTTTTAAGAAGATCAGTTAATTTTAAGGATTAATAAAAATATACTTTCAATTTTGTTTTGGGCCCAACTTTATTACATTTTCAAATTTCGAACTTAAATATTTTGAATGGAATTTTAAAATTTTTATGAATTTTAAAGTATTTTCAAAGAAGTTTCAGTATATATGCTCTTTGAGTTATGTTCGAAAATTTCAAAAGCTTAAAAAAGTCTTTTAAAGCTTATTTTTGGATTTCAAAAGGCTAAGAAAGCTTCTATAATCCGAAAAGGTCAAGTTCTTTTAAAATCTTGCTAAACTATTGCTGTTTACAGAAATTTTGGTTTAAGGGTGATTAAAAATTTATTAAAAATTTATATTTTTGTGTATTTTTACTAAGCTACTAATAAATTTATATGTGTATTTCTAAACACTGCCTAATCAATTAATCATAAATTTGTTTTTAACAAACAAATATTTAAACTTTATAAAGCACAGCTGTAGTAATTAAAAAAGTATTTAGACATTGCTTTATTTTCTTTAACAGATTACCTTAGCTAGTATATAAAATTTTATTTTAATTAAACGTTATTTATTTCCTGTTTAACTTAATTTTTTTTTAAATTTATGTCTAAAATGTTTATAATTTTTTATAGGTTAACCCCACCTACGGCTTGTTAATGCCTTAAACAATTAAAGAACACAATACACACTGCACTACAACAACAACAACTACTACTACTAAGCAAAACTTTAATTATAATTTTTTTTATAGCAATACTTATTATAACAAAAAAAATTATTGAGCTAAAGTTTTTATTTTTATTACAAATACATTTGTTTTTTACTTAAAGCGAATAATTGTTTTTGTTTAATACACAAAGTTTAAAGAAAATTTTGAGAATTTTGATCAAAAGAAACTGTGTCTAACATTAACTGATTTAGTATTTCCTAAAAACATTCAGATTTATTTACATTATTTATCAAATTTCTTTGTGTATTAAATTCCTCCCTCTCTCACATGACAATTGGTATTGATTTTATTTTATTGAAATTTCTTGAAATCACTGAAAAGTTAATTATTTCACTTTGTTTTCGTTTATCTCACTCACATACAATCCATCCTATTTGATATTTTAATAATAATTATTTTTTTTTTTTTATAAACTAAACTTCTATAATAATAAGAGTATTTGAAAAACTATTCAATCTATTTAATTAAATTTTAAAAGATGATCATCTTTGATCTGAAAAATTAAACTCTACAAACTACTCTTTAAACTATAGTGTCGACGTTTGACAAAGATAACAGTCAACTATAGTCTAGATCATAGACTAGTATATAGACCATACTATAGACTACACTATAGTCAATACATAGACTAGACTTAGGCTGTAGACTAGACTATAAACTTTACTATAGACTTGACTATAGACTATACTAAGACTATACTGCAGACTATACTATAGACTAGATTGTAGACTAGACTTGAGTATTGACTAGACTATAGACTTCATATAGAGTAGACTGTGGACTTGACTATAGAGTAGACCATAGTCTATAGAGCAGGCATTAGAGTAGATAATAGACTAGACTGTAGACTTGACTATGAACTAGACTACAGACACTGTAGACTCCAGTGTATTCTACACTGTAGAGTAGATTAGACAGTAGACTAGACTATAGATTAGACTAGACTACAGACACTGTAGACTCCAGTGTATTCTACACTGTAGAGTAGATTAGACAGTAGACTAGACTATAGATTAGACTATAGGCTATGCTATCGACTTGACTATAGTCTAGTCTATTATCTAGTCAATAGTGTAGAGTAGTCTACACTAGAATATGGATTAGACAATAGACTGTACTATAGACTAGACTATAGGCTAGACTATTGACTAGAGTGTAGACTAGACTAGACCAGAGACTAGAGTATAGACTAGACTATAGACTAGAGTATAGACTAGACTATAGACTAGACTATAGACTAGACTATAGACTAGACTATAGACTAGACTATAGACTAGACAATAGACTAGACTATAGACTAGACTATAGACTAGACTGTAGACTAGACTATAGACTAGACTATAGACTAGACTATAGACTAGACTATAGACTCGACTATAGACTAGACTATAGAATAGACTATAGAATAGACTATAGACTAGACTATAGACTAGACTATAGACTAGACTATTGACTAGACTATAGACTAGACTGCATTTTAAAATAACAAACACAAAATTTGCCTAAAACAAATTGTCTAATTGTCAAATAAAAGAATTCAATATTTATGCGACATTAAACAATAAAAAATTATAGTCTAGTCTATACTCTAATCTATAGTCTAGTCTATACTCTAGTCTATAGTCTAGTCTATACTCTAGTCTATAGTCTAGCCTATAGTCTAGTCTATAGTACAGTCTATTGTCTAATCCATATTCTAGTGTAGACTAGATAATAGACTAGACTATAGACTAGACTATAGACTAGACTATAGGACTATAGACTAGACTATAGACTAGACTATAGACTAGACTATAGACTAGACTATAGACTAGACTATAGACTAGACTATAGACTAGACTATAGACTAGACTATAGACTAGACTATAGACTAGACTATAGACTAGACTATAGACTAGACTATAGACTAGACTATAGACTAGACTATAGACTAGACTATAGACTAGACTATAGACTAGACTATAGACTAGACTATAGACTAGACTATAGACTAGACTACTAACATAGACTACTTACTAGACTAGACTATAGGACTAGACTATAGACTAGACTATAGACTAGACTATAGACTAGACTATAGACTCGACTATAGACTAGACTATAGAATAGACTATAGAATAGACTATAGACTAGACTATAGACTAGACTATAGATAGACTATTGACTAGACTATAGACTAGACTGCATTTTAAAATAACAAACACAAAATTTGCCTAAAACAAATTGTCTAATTGTCAAATAAAAGAATTCAATATTTATGCGACATTAAACAATAAAAAATTATAGTCTAGTCTATACTCTAATCTATAGTCTAGTCTATACTCTAGTCTATAGTCTAGTCTATACTCTAGTCTATAGTCTAGCCTATAGTCTAGTCTATAGTACAGTCTATTGTCTAATCCATATTCTAGTGTAGACTAGATAATAGACTAGACTATAGACTAGGACTATAGACTAGACTAGACTATAGACTAGACTATAGACTAGACTATAGACTAGACTATAGACTAGACTATAGACTAGACTATAGACTAGACTATAGACTAGACTATAGACTAGACTATAGACTAGACTATAGACTAGACTATAGACTAGACTATAGACTAGACTATAGACTAGACTATAGACTAGACTATAGACTAGACTATAGACTAGACTATAGACTAGACTATAGACTAGACTATAGACTAGACTATAGACTAGACTATAGACTAGACTATAGACTAGACTATAGACTAGACTATAGACTAGACTATAGACTAGACTATAGACTAGACTATAGACTAGACTATAGACTAGACTATAGACTAGACTATAGACTAGACTATAGACTAGACTATAGTCTAGACTATTGACTAGACTAGACTATAGACTAGACTAAACTATAGACTAGAGTGGACTATAGACTAGACTGGACTATAGACTATACTATAGACCAGACTATAGACTAGACTAGACTAAAGACTAGACTAAAGACTAGACTAAAGACTAGACTAAAGACTATACTAAAGACTTGACTATAGACTAGACGTTGGGTTATAGACTAAACTATATACTACAGATTAGACTACAGTTTAAAGGGTGTATAAAATCGGATAAAATGCAAAAACAAATTTATTGCGGTTGAATAGTTTTTAAAAAATGTTGTATTCGTAAATGTAATTACATTATAATACTGCAACGTAATAAGAAACTTTTGGCAACAGTACTCTAAGGTCTAAGGTTTTTAACAGAAGATATTTGATTAAAAATTTTGCTAATTTTTATATATTCAAGAAGTTGCAGATGCTAAATACGAATGTTTACGAATACTACTTTAAATAATAATATTTAAACAAAATTATTTATAAAACAAGCTAAAAAAAAGACATTTTTCTATTAGACATTATATAAAAACAACATTTAAATATATTTTGTTATAATTGTATTATAGTAAAACAAATAACTAAAATGTATAATTAATACATAAATCATAATTTTACAAATTTTTTGTTCAACTCAATTAATTAATTTGTAAATATAGACATTATTTATTAAGAAAGTTTTATGGCAAAAATTATTATTAATATTTTTTTTTAATTAATTAAATGTTATACAAAAAAATATAAAAATGAGAAAAACAAATTAAAAATTGTAGAACACAGCATTTAGTATTTATTATAAACAGCAGGAATAAAAGAATTAAATATTAAAACACATTTATTTTTTAAATTTTTTGCATATGTATCTATTGAAAAAAAAAAACAAACAAAATTTATAATTATTAAAACAACAATAAATGTATTTTATACACCCAATTATAAAAGTCTTTTTAAAATAACAAACACAAAATTTGCCTAAAACAAATTGTCTAATTGTCAAATAAAAGAATTCAATATTTATGCGACATTAAACAATAAAAAATTATACTAAAATAACAACAATTTATTAATTAATAATATGTAACTATAGAACTATGTATGTATTCAAATACAATTTAACTCTTTTTTTATATATAAAAAAAATAAACAATTCAATAAACTGTAACAATAATTTAGAAAAGCCAAATAAAAAAAGATACGTAAACTCAAACGAAAATTAAAAAGTATTTTTGTTTTCTTTATATATATTTAAATTAAATACAGACAAAACGTGTGAGAAATTATTGACAAATTAAGATAAATATTTGTAGAGCATTGGGGGAGTTATTAAAGGAGATTAAAAAATTGAAATTAAATAAAAAATTAAAAAAAAAAAAATATTTTGTTAATGAAATTAATTATTAAAATTGCATGAACTGAAATCTATAAGAAATACTTTCTGAAATATGATATAAATAATTTTTTGATATCGGTCCTTAAATATATAAATTTGTAATGAAATCTTGCATAAAACGTTTCACTCCGATGCCCTTTCGATATTAAAGGAGATTAAAAAATTGAAATTAAATAAAAAATTAAAAAAAAAATATTTTGTTAATGAAATTGCTTAATTATTAAAATTGCATGAACAGAAATCTATAAGAAATACTTTCTGAAATATGATATAAATAATTTTTTGGTATCGGTCCTTAAATATATAAATTTGTAATGAAATCTTGCATAAAACGTTTCACTCCGAAGCCCTTTTCGATTGTATGGGGGATAGGAGATATAATAGACGGATTTAAACCATTTGGAAAAGAATTTGTCCTTGTGTCAAGAGAAGAGAATGTGTACATACAGACGAACATATTCTGATCGACTCAGAAGTTGATTCTGAGATGATTGGTATACTTTAAGCTGGATGTAGAGCTAATATTTTTAGGTGTTATAAACATCTATTACCCAACCTCCCCGTTCCCGACGACCCGAGTCATACTCGGACAAAGATTGTCAACCTAGCGACAGCTGTATCAACCGAAAGAATTTTCCCCAGGAAAGAACTATCGGCCACAGTTACAACAACAACAACAACCCACCCTCCCCACTATAGTTATGTAGTTTAAAACTAATTAATTAAAAAAAAAAACGAAAATATAAGATTCAGATTTAACTTTTCTTATAAAAACAAAATAATTTCTAACCCACAGTACTTTTATAAACACTTTACAACACTAATATTTACTCTTCAAATTCCCTACACTTACCAACACTAAAATTTATGCAAACAATTATCAACTATTGTTTTGTTTTTGTTTTGCACTTTTAATTCCAGACAGAATTACTAATGAAAAATCATGACTGCTCTAGGAAAAACTAAATAAATTTCCAAAAATAATGCAAAAATTTACGGAAAAGGTGCACAGTGAACGGGAAAAACCAGAAGTGGTGTGGATTAAACGTGAAGATTTGGAAGAGCCTGCCGACAAAACGGAAACGGAAGTTAGGCGAGGTAAACAAATACCCATTGTTTATAGTAAACAATATGGAGTAAATTTTGCTAAATTGGAAAAACTACATCCGTTTGATGCCCAAAAAGGCAAGAATATAGCCAAGGTAGGTATTTAAATGCTATAAAAACAGATTTTTATATTTAAATTTATAAATCTATGGCAGATTTTATTGGAAACCCAGGTTATAAAGGGTAGATTCTATGAACCTGAGGAAATTACACACGAAGAACTATTAAAGGTACACAAACTGAAATATTTAAATAGTTTAAAATGGAGTTTGAATGTGGCCAAAATAGCGGAAATACCGATTTTATTATTTGTACCCAATTGTTGTGTCCAGCGGGGCTATTTGAAACCCATGCGTTTTCAAACTGCAGGCTCTATAATGGCAGGCAAATTGGCTTTACAATACGGTTGGTCTATTAATTTGGGTGGTGGTTTTCATCATTGTTGTTCCTATAAAGGTGGAGGTTTTTGTCCTTATGCCGATATTACTCTAATGATACAACGCATTTTCGCAGAGGAACGTTATATAGAACAGATTATGATTGTAGATTTAGATGCACATCAGGGCAATGGCCATGAACGAGACTTTATGAATAATGCTTATGTTTATATATTGGATATGTATAATTTTCGTATATATCCCAAGGATCATGAGGCTAAACTGGCCATACGTTATGCCGTGGAATTGCAGCCAAGAACAAATAATCGAGAGTATTTGAGAAAGCTGAGAAAGTAAAGAATATTGTTTTACAATAATTAAATAATTTACACTTAAATGTCTTTATTTCAGAGGTTTAAATTATGCCCTTGAGGAGTTTCATCCCCAACTAGTGGTTTATAATGCTGGTACAGATATTTTAGAGGGAGATCCTTTGGGCTATTTGTCCATAACACCAGAGGTATTTACATATTGTATATTTTGTATGAAATCGTTATTTCTTATGAAACATTTTTAGGGCGTCATCGAACGTGATGAATTTGTTTTTGCCACTTGTCGTTCGCGCAATATACCCATTGTCATGCTTTTAAGTGGTGGCTATTTGAAGGCCTCCGCCAAAGTTATAGCTGATTCTATTTTGAATTTAAAACAAAAAGGTTTGTTGCATTAAAGGAAAACGTTTTGGGAAGTTTATTATTTAATGTCCTTGTAAAGGAATTGTTTTAAGAATGTTTGTACCTAAAATTGAAAATTGTGTACCTAAAAGGAATTGTCTGAAATTTAAAAATAAAAAAAACTTTGTCTTCTAATAAAATCGTAGAAAATGGAAACAAAAATATAGTATATGTATAAAAATGCCTAACGTTTTCTTTTCAATAGACTAGACAATATGTGTGATTCCGTAATATTCTGTTTTTCCAATTTTAGTCAAAAACATCTTAAGAAACATATATTATTCAAAAAACAACGAAATATCTTGAAATTTGAGTACGGGAATGATTTACTATAAACACTTGCAATCCACACGAGTACAGGAATATACATATGTACATTAGGGCGGCACCGTCTCTATGAAGAAAAATTAAGGTACTTGTGTTTACATCAAAAATGAAAACTCTATTTAATGATATCATTTATGAAAATTTGTGTTCTGGGGTTAATATATGGTGAGCTGGGTTAAAATATAAAGTATATGTATGTATATCATGTGAAAGGCTTTTGGACTTTTAAAAACGTTTCATATGATACCATTATTGCGTATAGTTGCTAGAAATGACATTAGAAACTTCCATTTTGGGGCCTCCCTAATGTACTTAGAGCAGTCGATAAACTTCTCAATAGATTTGTCCACAGAATTGTACATAGACTAATCAATATACTAGTGTATATAGTGGTAAATTATTTCATAGATTAATAGACTAATTAATAGAACCTGCATAGACTTACATACTCCATAGGTTAGTCAGAAAACTAGTCAATAGATAAAAACTCTGAAAAGTATTTTAGTTCCTTTTTGTTAGTTGAATTTTCCACGCTTGTCTTCAAAAATATTATCTAAAACATCATTAAGTAGACGCCTTAGACACCCCTGCGCCATTAATTCAAAAACATTATCTAAAATATCATTAAGTATACGCCATAGACAACCCTGCGCCATTATTTATTATAGGCTTAAAATCAAACACCCCTTAAATAAAAATCATACCGCATTCTTATCACCGGCACTGCATTGTTTACAAATGATTTTCAAAACGTTTTCCAACACTTTTCCCACTATAAAATATTTGCACAAACAGACAAACAAACTAAACCAAACAGCTGTCATATCGATTTGGAATAACCTGACATTTGACAAACACACACACACAGCCGCCACAAGTAGACAACAGACAAACACTGCTATTTTGCATTCATTTATTATTTTTGTTTTTACAATTGCTTAAACAAAACAAAACAATAACAAAAAGCCAAACAAACAAATAAAAAACAAAACACCCGCAATAATAAAGTCATAAAAAAGACGTTAGAATAAAACAAAAATCATATAAAAATTATTAAAACCAAAAGATCTACCTCATTTTTAGTAAAATTATTAATTAAAACAGTACAAAAGAAAAATCAGTGAAATCTACAAAAGAAACGTCAAAGTAAAAATTTACCATCAAAACGACACAACAAGAAAAGAAAAGCCAATGAAAAATTTGGAAAAATTTGCGCGGAAATTGTTATGGAAATTATTTGCCAATATCTAAATAAAATGTAACGTATTTAAATTAAGTGTATGAGTGAGTGAGTGATGATAAAAAGAGAGAGTAACTGAACGATATATGATTTATTTCTGTGATGTATTAATTAAAACGTCATATTGTTAATGTTGTTGGGGTAGGAGTTCATTGTTTATATCAGTAGTTTATATGTGTGTGTGTGTATGTTGGGCCTTTAAGTATATGAATGAGTAAGTAGCTGGGTGTGAGAGAATTTATTTTATTTTATTATTATTTTTTGTTATCATTAAATTTAACGGTTATTGTAACTACTGATTAATTAAATATTGGTTGGGGGTAAATATGTATATTACTTTTAAAGTTTCCAAATGAAAAATATAAGTCATTTAGATTAATAGCTGAGATAGTTTAATAAGTACAAAGTTTTCTATATATTTCCAACAAATGTTTGTTGTGTACAATTCCATTCACATTCTAACACGTTCCCAACTTTCTAGCCACTACTCTTAGCGTAATACAAGTGTGAATGTGTGTTCGAGTATGCAGTGACCTTGTATGTAACCTTTACTGTTGTTGGTTGTCGTTGTCGTCTATTTGGCTTGGAAAATAATTTGATTTAGCCAATATTAATTAAATTTTTCTAATGCAGCAGTTGAATGGCAAATTGTATGATATTGTCAATTGCAATGACTAAGATCTCGTGCAGCTATCAATTAATTTAAAAGTCAATGGTTTTGTTTGTTTATTTTATAATTTTAGTTAATTACAAATAGGCGGTTTAAGAAGTACATACATAAATAAGAAAATTAATAATAATTTAATTTAAAATGGCCATTACATTTTATACAATAAAAATATTTAAAGAAGTATCACCATCTCAGGGTGGCTCCTTTTGTATTGAAGAAAAATAAGGTATTCATGTTTCCATCGATAATTAGAGCTTGATTCATTTTAAGTTAACGTTTCTCAAAATTTTGGTCCAATATTTAGTGAATTAGATCAAAGGATAAAAATCATCAACTTCCATTTTGGGGCCACCCTAATCTATATACATATTTGGAAGGACTTGCCACTAAACCGGCTTTTTACCCATCAAGCATCCATCGTTAACAATAGAACTGAATTACTGAAAACACTGTTTAACAAATCATTTGTATATAAAAACCATCAAATGTGTTAAATTTCTCTCAGTGTCTTTTAATATTAAGTGTTAGTAATAGTTATACAATTAATCCATCCTACCGCAATAAAAATTGTACACACTTTTCTTAAAAACAAAACTTGATAACAAAAATTAAAAAGTATTATTTACCCTAAACACTTCTAGACATTTTACCGTAAATATAACTCAAAATAAAACAAACAGAATTTCCATAAATTCTTAAAACTTTGCCGCAATTTAAATTATCAAGATTTAAGTAATAAAAATAGTAGTAGTATTAAACAAATTTGAATTTATAAATTATTAACACTCGTACTAAGTGATTACGAGTATTTGTTTAAAGATTCGCTTTGAGAAAAAAGTGAAAAAAAAAAATTTAAATATAAACTATGTTATGCTGACTGATACTGATAACTAACTAGTAAAGAGATTTGTTTATTCTACCGGATCTTGTTTTGGGGGAGGGGAAGGCGTATAAATAAATGATACTTGTTTAAACACCCACAACAAATTTTGCCTACCTGCCTGCAAACACGACTAGAGTGGAACAATAATTTGTCACCTACAATTGTGTCGTCATTAGTGTACATGCTATGTGGTGGCAGCAATAAATAAATAGAGAAACAAGTGGAAATACAAATCACAACATCATAAATGAATTTAAAATCTTGTGGGTACATTTTATTAGTTGAAATTCAATTGAGTGTAAGTATGTGTCGTTGTTTGTGATGCCACAAGATGCGCATGCCGGTAAAAAAAACGCATAGGGGCTGCATAAATCAGGGTTACAGTGAATTTGAAAGGGCGCTACTTTTTTAATAATTATTATTAAACTCAACGTTCGTAAGCTTTAAATCAGTATTAAATTTATTCGAAATTTTTCATAAAATATTTAAAATCAAATTTTATTCGCAAGTCAAGTTTCTCTTTAGGTTTGATAACACAGACAAACAAAATTTGGAAATGGTCGGAACGCGGAGACCAAATGATGCTTTTTTAAAGAATCCGGTCAAATCCGGCCGGAATTTCTCATCTTAAAAAATTTGTTTTTCCAATCTCAAAGACCCATTATTTCTAAAATTTGATATGATGGAGCAATGAAGTTTTCGTTAGTTAGTTATTTAGTTAGTTAGTTAGCTAGCTAGTTAGTTAGTTAGTTAGTTAGTTAGTAGTTAGTTAGTTAGTTAGTTAGTTAGTTAGTTAGTTAGTTAGTTAGTTAGTTAGTTAGTTAGTTAGTTAGTTAGTTAGTTAGTTAGTTAGTTAGTTAGTTAGTTAGTTAGTTAGTTAGTAGTTAGTTAGTTAGTTAGTTAGTTAGTTAGTTAGTTAGTTAGTTAGTTAGTTAGTTAGTTAGTTAGTTAGTTAGTTAGTTAGTTAGTTAGTTAGTTAGTTAGTTAGTTAGTTAGTTAGTTAGTTAGTTAGTTAGTTAGTTAGTTAGTTAGTTAGTTAGTTAGTTAGTTAGTTAGTTAGTTAGTTAGTTAGTTAGTTAGTTAGTTAGTTAGTTAGTTAGTTAGTTAGTTAGTTAGTTAGTTAGTTAGTTAGTTAGTTAGTTAGTTAGTAGTTAGTTAGTTAGTTAGTTAGTTAGTTAGTTAGTTAGTTAGTTAGTTAGTAGTTAGTTAGTTAGTTAGTTAGTTAGTTAGTTAGTTAGTTAGTTAGTTAGTTAGTTAGTTAGTTAGTTAGTTAGTAGTTAGTTAGTTAGTTAGTTAGTTAGTTAGTTAGTTAGTTAGTTAGTTAGTTAGTTAGTTAGTTAGTTAGTTAGTTAGTTAGTTAGTTAGTTAGTTAGTTAGTTAGTTAGTTAGTTAGTTAGTTAGTTAGTTAGTTAGTTAGTTAGTTAGTTAGTTAGTTAGTTAGTTAGTTAGTTAGTTAGTTAGTTAGTTAGTTAGTTAGTTAGTTAGTTAGTTAGTTAGTTAGTTAGTTAGTTAGTTAGTGTTAGTTAGTTAGTTAGTTAGTTAGTTAGTTAGTTAGTTAGTTAGTTAGTTAGTTAGTTAGTTAGTTAGTTAGTTAGTTAGTTAGTAGTTAGTTAGTTAGTTAGTTAGTTAGTTAGTTAGTTAGTTAGTAGTTAGTTAGTTAGTTAGTTATTCGGTCTAAGTAGTCCACATATTGCTGTATCGTCTAGTTCACCTACTACTCTGCGACTTAGCTAACTTGTGGACTAGTACATCGAATAATCTATGCATCACTTTATAGAATAGTCTATTGATTTGTCAATATACTAACCAAAAGACTAACCATGGTGCAGACTATTGCCTAGACTGCGGACACGACTTATAAAATGTTTGCCTAGTTTATGGTCTAGTGCCTTGTAGGTGCATATTCTTGGCCCACAATGATAACCTACTTAGTATTTTTTGGAATAAGTAGCTTCCACAGTCAACAACATTATCATAAACTCTTAAACCGTTTGCACTTCTAAATAAAATAAATGTCATTGTAAAATCAAAAATCTTTCTAAATAAATGACAAAACCATTGAACAACTAAATTGCAACTGTCAACAGAAACTAGAGGATCAATTAAAAACAAAATAGAAACAGAAGAGACAATTTTTATTGCTATTAACAAGTGCAAACAATAAAAAAAAAACAAATTAAATAAAAAAAGTATGTAATAAACTTAAAAAAGCAAAGAAATGATGATAATGATACTCTCGTAACAAGATGCAAATAGATAAAAATGTAAAAAATAAAATAAAAAAATAAACATTTGGCTTTTGTTGTTCTGAGATGCAGTCAGTCCGTCAGTTAGTGTTATAAAGTTGGCTGTTTGTTAACAATCTGTTGCCACCATTGCATTCTGCGTTTGTAATAAAAAAAATACATACAACACAAAGTATCACAATTTGAAAAATCAGTTGGTATCTACTAGATGCTACATTTTGGCCTCTATTGTATTTCTGTACTATTTATTGTTCATTTCAGTTCAGTTAAAATTGATAACAACAAAAATACAGACGACTGCTACTGCTGCAAGTGCAACAACTAAATATTTATTGTATGTATTTGCAACTGCACTTCTCAATTAAATTCTATTTTTTTAGTTTTAGTTTTTACAATTTATTTTATATTCTATTTGATTTTTGTATACGGTTTAGAAAGTTTTTCTATTCTTTTTTTTCTATCCAACTAACAATTTTCATTCGTATTTAAAATAACGTTCTTTTCATTTAAACAACTTAGTTTTCGAGTGGGTACCCAAACAGCAAGAACAACAAAAATTGTTAAACCAACTTCAACTCAAATAAAAACTCAAGATTACCAGCAGCAACAGCAAAATCTAAACCATCACCACCATCCCAAATACAAGATGCCCATTAATAAAGTTGTAATTTTACGTCACGGTGAGAGCGAATTTAACAAATTGAATTTATTTTGCGGTTGGCATGATGCACCACTAACGGAAAAAGGTAAAATAATTAAAAATTCTCACACAAACACACTTTAATTACTCACACGTGCTTATTTGATTTGGATTTTTTTTTTTTTGGAAGGTCTTGAAGATGCTTTAAAAATCGCCGTAACCGGTCTACGTCTTCATAATATGCAATTTGATTTCATTTACACTTCCCTGCTGCAAAGGGCCCATCAGACTGTCAATGTGATTAAAAAGGAAATGAATTATGAGAATGTTCCCGTCATTTATGATTGGCGTTTGAATGAACGTCATTATGGTAATTTAACTGGATTTAATAAACGTCAAGTGGCCAATAAATATGGTGAAGAAAAGGTAAGTGAAATTTTGACAGACAAGTGTTTTTTATATTTCTATTCAATTTCATATAGAACTTACTACTTTGTAGACAATTTTCTATTAATTTTGTCTCGTCTAGTTTTCTATTAGACAAGGTTTCGATCAAACAGTTTTCTATAAAACAGTGCGTTTTCTAGACAGTTTTCTATATAAATTTTTCTAAACAGTTTCCTAAAGAATCTATTCTTTTCTATGAGTTTCCTTCAAAACAGAGTATATTTGAAGCAGTTTCCTATAGAACAGCGTTTTTGTAGACAGTTTTCTGTAGAACTGCTTGTACAAAATAAATTAGAAAACCTTTTCAAAACATTTTCCTACATAACAGTGTAATTTATAGAACATTGTATTTTCTAAACAGTTTTCTAAAGAACAGTGTTTTTACTAGACTATTTTCCACAGAACAGTGTATTTTCTATACAGTTTTATAGAAAAACTGAGTCTTTTCTATACAAATTTCCATAGAACAGTGTTTTTATATCAGTTTACTGTAAAACTGACGTTTCCAGACAATTAGGGGAATTGTTTTATATTTGAGATTAAAAAAATATATCAATAATTTTAATTTTCTAAAGAAAATCGATCGATAACTTGAATTTTCATAGAAAGACTAGACTATAGACTAGACTATAGACTAGATTATAGACTAGATTATAGACTAGACTATAGACTAGACTATAGACTAGACTATAGACTAGACTATAGACTAGACTATAGACTAGACTATAGACTAGACTATAGACTAGACTATAGACTAGACTATAGACTAGACTATAGACTAGACTATAGACTAGACTATAGACTAGACTATAGACTAGACTATAGACTAGACTATAGACTAGACTATAGACTAGACTATAGACTAGACTATAGACTAGACTATAGACTAGACTATAGACTAGACTATAGACTAGACTATAGACTAGACTATAGACTAGACTATAGACTAGACTATAGACTAGACTATAGACTAGACTATAGACTAGACTATAGACTAGACTATAGACTAGACTATAGACTAGACTATAGACTAGACTATAGACTAGACTATAGACTAGACTATAGACTAGACTATAGACTAGACTATAGACTAGACTATAGACTAGACTATAGACTAGACTATAGACTAGACTATAGACTAGACTATAGACTAGACTATAGACTAGACTATAGACTAGACTATAGACTAGACTATAGACTAGACTATAGACTAGACTATAGACTAGACTATAGACTAGACTATAGACTAGACTATAGACTAGACTATAGACTAGACTATAGACTAGACTATAGACTAGACTATAGACTAGACTATAGACTAGACTATAGACTAGACTATAGACTAGACTATAGACTAGACTATAGACTAGACTATAGACTAGACTAGACTATAGACTATAGACTAGACTAGACTAGACTAGACTAGACTATAGACTAGACTAGACTATAGACTAGACTAGACTATAGACTAGACTAGACTATAGACTAGACTAGACTATAGACTAGACTAGACTATAGACTAGACTAGACTAGACTAGACTAGACTAGACTAGACTAGACTAGACTAGACTATAGACTAGACTATAGACTAGACTAGACTATAGACTATAGACTAGACTAGACTAGACTATAGACTAGACTAGACTATAGACTAGACTATAGACTAGACTAGACTAGACTATAGACTAGACTAGACTAGACTAGACTAGACTAGACTAGACTAGACTAGACTAGACTAGACTAGACTAGACTAGACTAGACTAGACTAGACTAGACTAGACTATAGACTAGACTATAGACCAGACTATAGACTAGACTAGACTAGACTATAGACTAGACTATAGACTAGACTATAGACTAGACTATAGACTAGACTATAGACTAGACTATAGACTAGACTATAGACTAGACTATAGACTAGACTATAGACTAGACTATAGACTAGACTATAGACTAGACTATAGACTAGACTATAGACTAGACTATAGACTAGACTATAGACTAGACTATAGACTAGACTATAGACTAGACTATAGACTAGACTATAGACTAGACTATAGACTAGACTATAGACTAGACTATAGACTAGGCTATAGACTAGACTATAGACTAGACTATAGACTAGACTATAGACTAGACTATAGACTAGACTATAGACTAGACTATAGACTAGACTATAGACTAGACTATAGACTAGACTATAGACTAGACTATAGACTAGACTATAGACTAGACTATAGACTAGACTATAGACTAGACTATAGACTAGACTATAGACTAGACTATAGACTAGACTATAGACTAGACTATAGACTAGACTATAGACTAGACTATAGACTAGACTAGACTAGACTATAGACTAGACTATAGACTAGACTATAGACTAGACTATAGACTAGACTATAGACTAGACTATAGACTAGACTATAGACTAGACTATAGACTAGACTATAGACTAGACTATAGACTAGACTATAGACTAGACTATAGACTAGACTATAGACTAGACTATAGACTAGACTATAGACTAGACTATAGACTAGACTATAGACTAGACTATAGACTAGACTATAGACTAGACTATAGACTAGACTATAGACTAGACTATAGACTAGACTATAGACTAGACTATAGACTAGACTATAGACTAGACTATAGACTAGACTAGACTATAGACTAGACTATAGACTAGACTATAGACTAGACTATAGACTAGACTATAGACTAGACTATAGACTAGACTATAGACTAGACTATAGACTAGACTATAGACTAGACTATAGACTAGACTATAGACTAGACTATAGACTAGACTATAGACTAGACTATAGACTAGACTATAGACTAGACTATAGACTAGACTATAGACTAGACTATAGACTAGACTATAGACTAGACTATAGACTAGACTATAGACTAGACTATAGACTAGACTATAGACTAGACTATAGACTAGACTATAGACTAGACTATAGACTAGACTATAGACTAGACTAGACTAGACTATAGACTAGACTATAGACTAGACTATAGACTAGACTATAGACTAGACTATAGACTAGACTATAGACTAGACTAGACTATAGACTATAGACTAGACTAGACTAGACTAGACTAGACTATAGACTAGACTAGACTATAGACTAGACTAGACTATAGACTAGACTAGACTATAGACTAGACTAGACTATAGACTAGACTAGACTATAGACTAGACTAGACTAGACTAGACTAGACTAGACTAGACTAGACTAGACTAGACTAGACTAGACTAGACTAGACTATAGACTAGACTATAGACTAGACTAGACTATAGACTAGACTAGACTAGACTATAGACTAGACTAGACTATAGACTAGACTATAGACTAGACTAGACTAGACTATAGACTAGACTAGACTAGACTAGACTAGACTAGACTAGACTAGACTAGACTAGACTAGACTAGACTAGACTAGACTAGACTAGACTAGACTAGACTAGACTAGACTAGACTAGACTAGACTAGACTAGACTAGACTATAGACCAGACTATAGACTAGACTAGACTAGACTATAGACTAGACTATAGACTAGACTATAGACTAGACTATAGACTAGACTATAGACTAGACTATAGACTAGACTATAGACTAGACTATAGACTAGACTATAGACTAGACTATAGACTAGACTATAGACTAGACTATAGACTAGACTATAGACTAGACTATAGACTAGACTATAGACTAGACTATAGACTAGACTATAGACTAGACTATAGACTAGACTATAGACTAGACTATAGACTAGACTATAGACTAGACTATAGACTAGGCTATAGACTAGACTATAGACTAGACTATAGACTAGACTATAGACTAGACTATAGTCTAGACTATAGACTAGACTATAGACTAGACTATAGACTAGACTATAGACTAGACTATAGACTAGACTATAGACTAGACTATAGACTAGACTATAGACTAGACTATAGACTAGACTATAGACTAGACTATAGACTAGACTATAGACTAGACTATAGACTAGACTATAGACTAGACTATAGACTAGACTATAGACTAGACTATAGACTAGACTATAGACTAGACTATAGACTAGACTATAGACTAGACTATAGACTAGACTATAGACTAGACTATAGACTAGACTATAGACTAGACTATAGACTAGACTATAGACTAGACTATAGACTAGACTATAGACTAGACTATAGACTAGACTATAGACTAGACTATAGACTAGACTATAGACTAGACTATAGACTAGACTATAGACTAGACTATAGACTAGACTATAGACTAGACTATAGACTAGACTATAGACTAGACTATAGACTAGACTATAGACTAGACTATAGACTAGACTATAGACTAGACTATAGACTAGACTATAGACTAGACTATAGACTAGACTATAGACTAGACTATAGACTAGACTATAGACTAGACTATAGACTAGACTATAGACTAGACTATAGACTAGACTATAGACTAGACTATAGACTAGACTATAGACTAGACTATAGACTAGACTATAGACTAGACTATAGACTAGACTATAGACTAGACTATAGACTAGACTATAGACTAGACTATAGACTAGACTATAGACTAGACTATAGACTAGACTATAGACTAGACTATAGACTAGACTATAGACTAGACTATAGACTAGACTATAGACTAGACTATAGACTAGACTATAGACTAGACTATAGACTAGACTATAGACTAGACTATAGACTAGACTATAGACTAGACTATAGACTAGACTATAGACTAGACTATAGACTAGACTATAGACTAGACTATAGACTAGACTATAGACTAGACTATAGACTAGACTATAGACTAGACTATAGACTAGACTATAGACTAGACTATAGACTAGACTATAGACTAGACTATAGACTAGACTATAGACTAGACTATAGACTAGACTATAGACTAGACTATAGACTAGACTATAGACTAGACTATAGACTAGACTATAGACTAGACTAGACTAGACTATAGACTAGACTATAGACTAGACTATAGACTAGACTATAGACTAGACTATAGACTAGACTATAGACTAGACTATAGACTAGACTATAGACTAGACTATAGACTAGACTATAGACTAGACTATAGACTAGACTATAGACTAGACTATAGACTAGACTATAGACTAGACTATAGACTAGACTATAGACTAGACTATAGACTAGACTATAGACTAGACTAGACTATAGACTAGACTATAGACTAGACTATAGACTAGACTATAGACTAGACTATAGACTAGACTATAGACTAGACTATAGACTAGACTATAGACTAGACTATAGACTAGACTAGACTAGACTATAGACTAGACTATAGACTAGACTATAGACTAGACTATAGACTAGACTATAGACTATACTATAGACTAGACTAAAGACTATACTATAGACTAGACTATAGACTAGACTATAGACTAGACTATAGACTAGACTATAGACTATACTATAGACTAGACTATAGCCTAGATTATAGACTAGACTATATACTAGAGTATATAGTCGTTCTTTTTCAGACAGTTTTCTAATAAGAACAGCGTCTCTAATAAGAATTTTTCTGATCAATATATATCTATTTTCCTATTTCACAGGTACAAATCTGGCGTCGCTCATTTGATGTCTTACCCCCACCGATAACACCCGACAATCCCTATTACGATAAAATACGCAACAATCCTAAATTTAAAGATATACCAAAAGACCAATTTCCCGATAATGAATCACTAAAAACGCTAATGGTACGCACAGTACCACTGTGGGAAAATGAAATAATGCCAAAAGTATTAAAGGGACAAAAAGTGCTGATAGTGGCTCATGGAACGGTAGTAAGAGCTCTAATGAAATATATAGAAGGTAAAGAAAACAAAAATTAAATCGATTTTCTAGACTAATTAGAAAAATTAACTTATTTTCTCTTTAGATATAAGCGATGAGGATATAATGAAATTAAATATTCCCAATAGTGTACCCTGTGTCTATCAATACGACATGGAATTGGGCATGCGTGTGGATAATGTCCAGTATTTGGCTGATGACGATTATGTAAAAACGGAAAGCGCCAAAGTAGCTTCTATAGGCAATTAAATGAAACACACAAATAGAAGTAATCTAATATCTACAATAATACCAACGGACTGATATTTTACAAAAAAAAACAATTGTTTCATAGTTTAGATTTGTATTTGAGAAAATTATGAGGAATTTATGAAATTCTGTTTGGGGGTTTTGTAATACAAATTTTAAATGCGCATAAAATGTAATTATCATTAGAGTGTTTAATCTTTTTTTTTGTAAATTTATTATAAATAAAATTAATTTATTGTATACAAGAACGTTGATTTAACTTAAATTTTCTAAAACCAAGTGTCCTTTCAAGACAATCTTCGAATTCACAATAGGTTTGTTTTCGAAACCAAAAACGAAACTGTTACGACATACAACAATTCAACAATACGATGCTGATAGTGAATTGGACATTAGACAGTTTCTATAGAAACAGTATTTGTCCTGTCAGTTTTTTATAAAACAGTACCTTTTCTAAACAGTGTTTCCTCAATGTATGTAGACATATTTCTGTTCCAGACAGTTTTTTATAGAGCATTGTGTTTTCTAGACAGTTTTCTATAGAAAATTATTTGTCCTGTCAGTTTTCTAAAGAACAATGTCTTTTAGATCAGATTCTTTTGTTTTCTAAGTTTTATGGAAGAGTGTCTTATAGAGAATTTTATATAGAACAGTATTTATGAATAATTTTCTATAGAGAACATAGTCTTTTATAAAAAGTTTTATATAAAAAAGAAATTTTATATAGAACAGTCTTTATGAATAATTTTCTATAGAGAACATAGTTTTTTATAAAAGTTTTATATAAAACTGGGCAGTTTTCTATAAAACAGTCAGTAGTATAGATAGTTTTCTATAAAACTGTATATTTTCTAGTCAGGTTTTTATAAGACTATATCTTTCTTGAACGTTTTTATATAGAATGTATATATTCAGGTCAGTTTTTTATAAAATAGTCTATATTCTAGGCAGTTTTTTTATAGTCATTGTTAGTCAATATTTTATGGAACAGTGTCTTTTCTGATAGTTATCTATAAAATAGTCACTTTGTCTTTTCTGGATAGTTATCTCTAAAAGTCACTTTCTAGACCAATTTTCTATATTTTTTCTAAAACAGTTTTATTAAATTATGTCTTTTTTTTTGATAGTTTATATAGAATGTATCTATCCAGTCAGTTTTCTATAGAACAGATCTATTCTAGACAGTTTTTCATTCAATGATTTATGGAACAGTGTCTTTTCTGGACAGTTTTCTATAAAATAGTCACTTTCTAGACAATTTGCTACAAAACTGTATCTTTTCTAGATGTCTTGACAGTTTTCTATAGAACAGTATCTATCCAGTCAGTTATCTATAGAACAGTTTCTATTCTAAACACTTTTTTTATAGAACGGAGTCATTTCTGGTCAATGTTTTATGGAACAGTGTCTTTTCTGAACAGTTTTCTAAAAACTAGTCACTTTTTACACAATTTTCTATAAAACTTTATATTTTCTAGACAGTTTTTATTAAATTATGTCTTTTTTTGATAGTTTTATATAGAATGTATCTATCCAGTCAGTTTTCTATAGAACAGTATCTATTCTAGACAGCTTTTTATAGAACGAAGTCAATTCTAGTCAATGTATTATGGAACAGTATCTACTTTGTACAGTTTTATATAAAATAGTCAGTTTCTAGACAATTTTCTATAAAACTGTATCTTTTCTAGACAGTTTTTTAAAACCATGTTTTTCTTGACAGTTTTCTATAGAACCGTATCTTTTCTGGCAGTTTTCTATAGAACAGTGTATGGTCTATACAGTTTTTTATAGATCGGTGTCATTTCTAGTCAGTGTTTTATGGAACAGACTATTCTGGACAGTTTTCTATAAAACTGACAGTTATTTACGAAATGATTTATATGGTTTTCTATAGATCAGTATTTTCTAGACAGTTTCTTTTAGAATAGAGTCCTTATAGTCAGTGTTTTTTGGAGCTGTATCTTTCCTAGAAAGTTTTCTATAAAACAGTATTTTCTAGACAGTTTTCTATAAAACAGAAACAGTTTTCTATAGAACAGAAGCAGTTTTCTATAAACCAGAAACAGTTTTCTACAGAACAGTGTTTTTTCTAAAAAAAATGTCTATAGAATATTCTATTCTGGATCTATAAAACCGTGTCTTTTCCAGACAGTTTTTTGTAGAACAGATTTTTCTGTAGAATAGTTTCTAAAGAGAAATTTCAAATAAAGAACTATTATTCATAATGTCCTTGAAAACAATTTTAAATATCTAACAATCATTCGTTTGTTAGAAGTTTATTAATATTCCATGATTCATTCACTTAATAATGTAAAGCATTAAATAATTAATAATTCATTCATAAAAATTTCATTGAATTAAAAACTACAGTTGAATTAAACATATTAAACAACAAAAAATTCAACCCTCTATGAAACTTAAATATATCTTTCAGATAAAAATTAAACAGATGAAAGCAGAGAAAAAAACAGCTGGTGAAATATTCACACAAAACAGAATTGAAGCTAAATGTCAAGTTAAAAATGAAACTAAACAAAATATTTGAATATTTAATATTGAAAATAAACAATAACATCGGGAAGCAAACAGAGATACACACACACACACACCATTCAAACACACATCAATACGTAATATTCAAAAATCAAACAAACATTCGAAAATTAAAGAGTGCGCAGAGAGCACACAGAGTCAAATTGTATTACCGAGTGAGAAATGTATGAAAACCGATTTACGGTTTGTTTTCTTTATTTTATGATTTTTGTTAGTCTGACACAGGGGAGTAAACACCATTAAAAAAGAGAGTTTTCGGTGTCACACAGCGCCGCACAGCACACAGAGTGTTATAATTTAATTCGCAATAGAAAGGTGTATAAAAGTATCTGACAGATACACTTTCAGTTTGTTTAGTTAAGCCAAAGACAACGAACGGACGGATGCAAAACTACGGCTGACCGCGACAATGATTTGTTTGTTGTATGTTGTGCGGTACGTTTTCAAATTGTCTATACAGAAAGAAAAATCGTCAAACAAAAAAAATTTTATTATTTTTGCTGTTGTCTGAATTAAACGCGTAAACGATGGACAACTGTCGCAGCACGAACTAATAAATAAAATAAATATTCAGATATAAATAATGAGACAAAAAAAAAAATAACAACAAAACTATACTAAATGCAAATTTGTGTTGCCACCAATTTATGTTGAATAATTATTTAGGGGCTACTTTACTTACTGTCACAGCTGGTGTTATTATAATTGTTTGGTTATTTACCTGAAAAAAAATTAAAGAAAAAATGTGCAAAAAATTAGAAAATCTTTATGATTAAAGTTTAGAAAGTGAAATTTTCAAAACACATTTTGGATTTCTTGGCAACTAGACCCACTAAAATGATTTAATACATTCAAGATTGTACATATATGTATATATGTATGTATGCATATTTTTTCTCATATATGCATATATAAAGCTTTTATTATTAAGAAAAACTGTATTAATAAAATGTATTCAATATTTTACAACGATTTATCTACTTTTATTTTGAAAAGGTAAAAGTAAGAATCCAGTAAATCGTTGTTCAATTGTTAAAATGTGACTCTGAATAAGACTAT